TTCCAAAGAACAAGGCAATGTACTAGGTACTGTTATTGATAGATTACTAAACAAAATTGGCAAATTTTTGTCTTCTTGGATAAAGTAAAACCAATAAATACACATTATAATTAGTGCTGGGTAAGAAATGCAAAGGGCAGGCTGGAGAGATGGCTCAGAGTTAAGAGTACTGGTTGCTCTTGCATCTGTATAGTAGCTAACAACCATTTATAACTCCAGTTTCAGGAAATCTGATGTCCTGTCTGACCTCTGCAGGCATTGCACGACATGGGTCCAGTTACATATATGCAGACAAAACACTCATACACATAAAAGATCAATACATCAAAAAAAAATTATAAAAAGAAGGAAAAAATGAGAAAGAAATATAAAGGGCATAAACCCTTTATATGACATACATAATTGATATTCTACTAGGAGAAAAATGAATTAAGTCTTCAATTTAATTTAGAAAAAAATCTTTGAACTCTTTGAACCTCTAAGTACAAAATAAGGATTTTTTGTGGTTTTGTAGATTTCCAAAGTCTTTGACAAGTCCTACAGTCAATTCTGATATCCCCCATCTTCCTGCCCAAATTACGAAATAGGGGAGAACTCTAGAGAGCTTAGAACTTTAGAGTACTCAACTACTGTCCCGAGATTCATGTTATGAACTGAATTCTGTCCCCCGTAAGTCCCTTATCTCTAATGGCCTATCTCTATCTATGTGGAGATAGGAAAAGCTACATACGGTCTCTTCCTCTTTTTACAAAGAACAGTAGTCCAGTGATATCAGGGCCCTACTCTTAGGACCTCATCTAACCTTAACTGCCTCTGTAAAGGCCTAATGAGGGTACAGTGAGGAAGTGGCTATCTATAAAGCAGGAAAAGAGACCTCCCTGGAAGCCCACTCTGACGATGGCACCTGTTTTTGTCTTTGAACTTCCAACCTTTAGAACTGTGAGAACATTTTGTTGCTTAAGTTTCTAGTCTAGGCTATTTTGGTATGGTGGCTCTAACTGACTAGTATAGTTGCTCAGCCCCTTATTCTCTGTGTCTAGGGATCTCAAGAATGTACCAGAATGAGAGAGGTCCCACTGAGACTGTCTCCGCCTTGAAATCAAAACTGAAATGGAGAGGGCTCAGCTATCAGGAGGGGATGGGAATGGGGAAGGAAGGTCACCAACACAGAATTAAGAGCTTCAGCACCCTAAGACAGCCATGAAAATCAAACAAATGTTGCTGGGAGGCAAAGGCATCATCCTCTGCTGGACCAAGCAGGGTAGAGCTTCACAAAGCTCTCCACACAGGCTTTCTCAAACTCCGGAACTGAGGGCCTTTACTTTCTCTTGCTAAGTGGTGCCAAGGTTGATGTTTCAGTCTTGGTTCTTTTAACCTTCTGACAGCTGTGTGAAGGCTCTTACAAGGAGGCTTGGAGGTGGCTCAGAGGATAATGTGCTTGTGGTACAAGTGGCAAAGACCATAGTTTGGATCTCCGGCACCCACCTAAAAGCTACCTGGGCAGGCATGGTGGTTCCTTCATGTAATACTAGCACTGCAGAGGAGACGGAGGATTCCTGGAGCAAGATGGCTAGCTAGACTAGTTGAATCTACCAGCTCTCAGTTCAAGTGAGAGGCCCAGCCTCAATATATATGATGCAGAGCAATTGAGGACGACACCGAATGTTAACCTCTGGCCTCCACATGCACACAAACATGATGCACCCACAAGTGTGCCTGCACACTTTGCACCCACCCACCCACACACACACACACACCCACACCCCCCCACACACACACACTTGCAAAAAAAAAAGTAAAGAAAAAGAGACTTTGGTTATTTAAGCTACTGGGCCTGACTAGTTCCACCCCATTCAATATAACATTATACACTGCTCCCAATTCAAATCTCCAGAAGTATTTTTGCTTTGTTTTGTTTTCTAAATGAGAATGTCTTTTATTTATTTATTTTTACTTCTATTGATTTTTTTTGCAATTTTGAGAAGGAGGAGACCTGAATAATTCCCAGAAGTCGTTTGGACCACTCTATAAATAAATCTACATCTTCCCCAGACTATAACAGCCTTCCAAGTGGAAGAAAACTTGTGAAAAACTGATCTTTAAAATGATTTTATTCTCCTAATTCCACAGAATGGTGCCCATTCACCCTGAATTTACACTGTTTAAAATGCCCTAAGTGACCTTGCAAGAGACTGAAATGAACAGCTGCTGCTGAGTAAAGTGTGGTAAAATTGATACTGCATAGCTAGCATGTTGGAATATAAACAGGTTATAAATTACAGCAGTGTGTATCCACATCATAAAGATGTCTATGTCTCTTTCCTCAGGGGGAAAAAAAAAACAGTGCCAATGATTGCATAAGCAGTTCTTATGCTTCAAGATTTTCATTTCAGAGTTGGCTTTTGTTTTGTTTTCCATTCTGAAAAGGAATAAAAACAATAGGGGAAAATGGAAAGTGTCCAATGAGAGATGAATAGTTAAAGAATCTATGGAACATTGTGTTTTTAAAAGATTGTAATAATGCCAAAATGGTTATGTGAAAAATTGCATATAGAAATATATATACAGTTTATATACAATTTTATTATAAGCTATGCGTTCAATTTCTGCTTACAATGCACTACAGCATGGTACTGTAATGGATTGTATTGCAGACTTCATTTTACCCCTTGGCATTTTCCCCACAGTAGGCTGAACTAAATGGTCTACAAGGTTGTGCTAGATTATGACTAGATGGAAAAATAAAGATAACCAGAAAAACCCTAAAATGGAAACGCATTTGGAGAAGACAATCTGACTAGAGGTGGAAAATAGGATTTTTTTGGCTAGACGTGGAGGTGCAGGCCTGTAATCCCTGCTACTCAGGAGGCTGAGATGGAAGGATGACAGGTCAAGGCCCGACTTGGGCTATATACATTGTGCTGAAGGCCATCCTGGGAAATGTGAGACCCTGTGATGGCTAGTATTTATTGTCAACTTGACTGACACCTATGATGCAGACCTCTGGGCACACTTGTGAGGGATTATCTGGATTGCGTGGACTGCTGTGGGGCAGCCCACCCTAACTGTGGATGGGACCATGGGCAGGGGAGCCTGGACTGTACGAAATGGAGAGGGCAAGCTGTGCCCTTTTAATATGCATGCATTCAGTGCTCTCAGATTTTGACTGTGGATGGGAATGTGACCATTTCTTTTGAGCTCCGGCTGTTGGGGACTTCCCTGTCATGACAAACTATATATAACCTAGAATTGTAAGCCAAATAAACCCTTTCTCCCTGAAGTTGCTTGGACAGGATATATTATCACAGTAATAGGAAAAGAAATAAAGGCACACTATGTCCCAAAATAAGAAGTAAAAACTGGGCTGGGGATGTAGCTCAGTGTTAAGGTGTTTGCCTAGCATACACAAGGCCCTAATCTCTACTCTGCCTCCACCCCAGGCACTAAAACAATTTTAAAATGAAACATTTAAATTTTTAAAAATAAAACACAATTAAAACTCTGTAACATACAGACTAAAGGAATAAAATTGAACTCCGAAAAGAAAAAGAATGTATACCAGAATTGAGGATATGATAAAGGTGAAATATTATGTCAGGTAAACATGGATTTCATTAAAAAAATTATTATCGGAGCAGCCCTATAATCGTAGCACCCAGGAGGCTAAGATAGAAGGGCTATGAGCTTCAGACCATCCTAAATGACACAGGAAGCACCTGTCTCAAAATAACAATGAAAGAAACCCAAACCACCACAACAAAAAAAAAGAGCCTGCTATCAGAAAAAAAGGCTTATGTCTTGATATCTGGACAAAAATACAACTGTATCCATACCTCATAGCATATAATAACATGAGCTCCAAATGGCTCATGGAGTTTAAGATCTAGAAAATGCAATAATAATTCCATTGAAGAAAACATGTGCAAAGTCCTTGTAACTTTGTTGTTGGGATAGCCTTTCATGAATGATTCTAAAGAGCAGCACAGTGTACTATATACAGATTAAAAGTTAGATATTTAACAAGTCAAAGAACAAACTGAAAATGGAATAATTTTACAATTTACATTAAAGGTAAAGAGTGTAATTCACAGAAGATATTTTTTTAAAAAAAGTAACAACCTCAGGGCTGGAGAGATGGCTCAGCAGTTAAGAGCACTGACTGCTCTTGCAGAAGACTGGGGTTTGATTCCCAGCATCCATATGGCAGGTAACAACCATCATAACTCCAGTTCCAGGGGATCCAATGCCTTATTCTGACCTCCACAGGTATTACACAACACAGGTTCACTTACATGTATGCGGGGAATACACTCATACACATAAAATAAAACAATAAATAAAATATTTTTAAAATTAACCACCTCAAAAGAAGAATGGTAAAAGTCACAGATTATTCTCAAATAAATCCAAATGACCCTTAAGACAACTGAAAAATCCTCAGACCTATGACACAATTGAAAAGACTTCAGCATCAGCTATAGCAACTGAACCTAATTGTCACTTCACAGTTTTGCAAAAACCCAAAAGTACAGTGACACTTGGATCTTCATGTGATACCTTCATGAATGTACAAGGTTATGTGCCATACCTTCTGGATAGAAAAAATGGGGCAAACCCAAGTGCCCAGCACTAGGAACAGACTTGGATTGTCCCATATCCACACGACCACAGCTGTTGTGAATGTGTAAATAATAAAGAGGAAGGTCGTGTTTCCTCATTTGGAAAGTTCTTTAGATATGCTAAAAGAAAGTATAAATAGGACTCAGATTTAAAAACAGCTTTATTAAAATGTGCATATCATAAAATTTATCCATTTGAAGTTGTTGTGTGACAGACTTCTCCTAGGGAAACAAGATGCAGTCTATTCACCCCAGATCAGGCCCAACAGTCCAAAGAAAGGACTGAACCAACGTCCATCTTGGTGAAACAATAAGCTTATTGGAATGACTTATGGAAGTATGGGTGAAAGGTTACAAAAGGGAGTTTGGGTGACGGGTGACTTATGGGAGTACGGCTGACAGGTGACTTACAGGAGCAGAAATGGCACCAAAGCAGATGCATCGCCAAAAGCTCACTCCAGCACGGGAGATGGCTCTCCAAAGCTGGAAGCCTGGATCTGTCTGCACCACATGCAGGTGGCTCAGCAGGTCAGAGTCTCCTCCCAGCAGCTCAGCGGCTCTGAGTCTCCCCCAGGGGTTGTTCACTATTTCTGTAACCTTGACCCTCATGAATCCTGTACATTTCAGCTTTTGCAGACAGTTGGAAGTTTGTTTACATTCCGAGTCTCCCGAGCCTCCTCCCTCCTCCTTCCCTGAGGGTAGGGAGGGTTGTATCAGGGATTGGGGGCTTGGTGTTTCAATTAGAAGCAAATCACTGTTAAACAAAAGTGTATAGTTTTTAGTACACTTTTGTAATTGTGGGAAAAGAAATATTATAAACATTTTCATTTGAACTCTTTTTAGTGTATAACACGGGTAAGTTCATGAGATTGCACAGCTAACACTACGACTTCCGAAACTTCCATCTGTGGCCAGATGTCTCAGCCATAAAACTTACTTATCAGTGAGCCAGATGTCTCAGCCATAAAACTTGCTTATCAGTGAGTTGGAATTCCTGACCGGTACGCGACCTGCCTGAGAGACTTCATGGCTCCTGACTTTTATAATTTTTAATTTTTTTTTTTTCATTCCTCCCTTTTTCTTTGTAACTATGGAGGGGCATCTTTCCCTCCTTTATAGATTATCAGGGTCACTTGTTTCTAGGGCTTGGTATTGGCTAGTCAGCACTAAGGTTTGGACAGCTGACAGCCTTTCTCGCATGAATTGAGTCAACCGGTTGAAAATGCAGGGGCCTATTGTTAGGATTAAGAGTAGGGACACCAGGGGCCCAACAAGGGGTAGAAGGTAAGGCAGAATTCCGTTCCACATGCCCCACATGGGGTTAGCAAAAAGCTCCTGTCGCCTTTTTTCTAGTTCCTCTTGGTGTTTTTTAATCCGATCTCTGACGATCCCGGACTTGTTGGTATAAAAACAGCATTTTTCCTGTAATGCTAAACAGATACCTCCCTTGTCTGCTGTTAGTAGATCAAGTCCCCGTCTATTCTGTAAGACAACCTCGGCTAGTGAGTCTACCTGGTCCTGAAGATCTTGTACAGACCGATAGACCATATTTACATCATTAATTAACTGTTGAGATAATTTGTTGTAAGTGTCTATTGCCACTCCTACACCAGCTGAGCCCGTAGCGAGGGCTCCTGAGATACCCAGTCCAATAAGCAATGGAATAAACTGGACCGCTCGTTTGTGCCTAGGAACGAATGTGTCAAAGCTAGGCAAAGGCACAGGCTCATCTCCTGGAATTATGTCTATGTCTGGCAAGAGCAATGCAGGGGCACATGAACCAGTCCAGTTAGTGGGTAAATAAGGATAGGCCATGTTATTTCCACATACATAAATTTTCCCCCCCCTAAACAGCCTGTCTGAGAGGTGTTTATAAACCTAGAGCAGGTAGTAAACATAGCTAATCCGAGGTCTACATCAAAGGAATTATTTTGAAAGGGACTAAAAAGGCAAATAGATGTGTTGAAGTAGCGAGGCTGGACCTTAAAAGGCGTGGTATAGCTACAAATATCCGGAGAGGGGAGTATATTAGACTCGTTACTTAAAGGTAAAACTAGAGGCCATGAAATTCCTAATGCGAGACACAGCCAACAATCCTCTGCCAGGGAAGGGTTGGAACGGTTTAGGACATCATGGGTGGCAGTAAGGATCTCCATGGTCTGAGGGTCTAAATTAAGGCCTCTAGGTTTGGGTAGCAATAGTGGATGGTAATGAAGGCGGGGCAAGAGAGACTCCCTTTGTTTTTGCAACACAGTTTGGACATAATTTTCTTTAACCTGGTCTGTAGGGCCCCCTCCATCTGATATGTGAATCGGAGCTTGTTGAGGCCAGCATGCCTTTTGTCCAGGTTCTACATAGCAGCCTGCACTAAGGGTTTTTGAATTATAACTTTCTGGTCCTATTACCTGAGTGTTAAGACTCCAATCTGAGCCCCCAGAGGCCTTTTTATAAGAAATGGCCGTAGAATAAAAATACAGGATGTTATTGAACCGACATTCAGTAAAAGAAGCATAACAGGATGAGTGCATAGCTTCGACGAAATTACAATCAGAGGGGCACTCACCATTAGCTGGTGGTAAGATAGGTTTAGGCTTAGACACACATTTCCAGCTCTGTTGGTGCTGCTGAGTAGGTGTACCATGAATACCAAGATATGCAGTCCTGTCTCCACAATCTACAGACCGGAAATATGTACCGGATGGGGCCTCCCAATGACCACCTCTACATTCACAAGGGGGACCATACTGGGTTAGCATAAATCTGGTAGCATTCAATGGTTGAAGGCCACCTC